GCCCGTCTTTTCACCTCAGAGCCGGCGGATGGTCTGCCAGAATACTTTGTTTGCCGTGTGGAAATTCGACCACCATTGAATCATAAAATGAAAATCATTGATATTCATAGTTTGACCACGGGTTGTATACTACTTCCATCGAAGTTCCATTGATAGATGGTATGAAGGGCGAAGTCAAATCATCGATGCAGATGATCATCTGCCAAAGACATAAATTGAAACTCCTGATCACAGACTGCTCCCTGATGCATGCTGACATCGTACAGTCGTCACAATGTAACTGTAATACGAAATTCACCGGTGTGGCAGCGGTACTGTACTTCACTCACAGAGAGCTGCCCACTAGTATATAACATGACTGTAGTATCGAGCAATGTCATCAGCCAGCGGACTTCGCTAAAACGTTCCGTTCCGGTAGATATCCGCGAAGGTTTGAGCGAGACCACAAAATTCGTGTACTATGCTCGACTCTAGAATTAACGGCATTGGAAGCGACCAGTGGCTACACCGTTACAGCTGCCAACTACCGCGTTGTTGTCGAAGTTCTGCAGACTTTATGGTTCGGCCGACCGGGACTCATTGTGCAAGAACACGTCTTGTCCCTCCTCGGTGCTCCTTTCGGCATCTGCGCGAACTTCACGACTGGTTGAATCGTCACGGGCATGTCCTATAAACTTCGGGAAAGGACCCGGATATGGACCAGCTACTTGTCGCCGAAATCCTGTTGCTTATCTTTGAGCAGAAGCTGCCGATGCCTGTCCACTAGGGATGAGAGAACAAAGTCGTATCTGGAAAACTTGAAAAGGTTAGTTTAGAAAGCTTCCTGAACTGTTTTTTTGAAGAATATAAGAACAGAAGTGGGAGTCGGTAAAACTGACCAAAGTTCAGAAAAGACCGATCGCCCTGTTACCAGGGCTCGTCATGCCGACCAACGCGAGTGTCGCCGAAATTTCTTTGCTGCAGCTTTACAGACTATTGTAAGCTGAGAGGTAGTGCCTTCTATGTGAAGATCATCATCAGGTTTTCAAGTTCCCAAATTTGTTAAGGCAAGTGTCCAAGAAAGATGGCATTTGGCACACGACAATCGTGAATGTTTTCGTTGTTTGATGGCCGACCACGTTTTCAGTAACTATTCAACGGCGTGTACCTGCTCGAAGGATGGATGCAGACGCCATAAGCTACGTCATGGCAGAGGTGAGCTGCGATGAGGTAGAGGTTTCGCTGCTACCGAGTGATTACCTCCCCAATCACACCCAGAAGCCGGTTCAGAAAAGGTCGTTACACAGCTGGAAATCGCAAAAGCTAGCAAATATTCTTTTTCGGACAATGGAATAGAATACTTTGCATTATTCATGTTACGAAGTATGAATGGCAATCGCATTACTGTTTTGCACTTAGTTGCTGTGAAAGGACGTTGCAGATAGTGTCGGCATAATGGGACAGACAGAGAACAATCGGATCAGTTCCTTTAGGGAAGCCTCAAGTTCCCAGATATGATTGGTCGCGTTAAGTTCAGATTTGGGCCAGTTTTACACTGTGGTAAAGAGAAGTACGTAGAAGCACTGTGCTTTCCCTAAATTTGTAGGTCATCTACTCCAAACCCGATTCTGAACAAAGCTTGAAAACATCCCTGGAAAGTCTTAAACTCGCGAGCAACTTTTCTGCAGGGTCATCAAAAATCGATTTGCTTGTAGGAGTCTACTGCTATTACGAGTTCATGACAACTCACTTCGGGCGTGGCCCAATCAAAGCGCCATTTGCAATCGATATTTTTTTGGGGTGGATTGTCTGTAAAAATGTTGCGGGCGATAATGGAGCCTAACCGGGAATGTAAACTCGCTTTATAGCACTGTTGATGATGCTGATGACAGTATACTGCGTCGATTCTGGGAGATGGATGCAATTGGCATCGAGAATCACTGGAAAAGAATACAACACCGTCTGTATTAGCTTGTGGAGAAATTTTAAAACTCTCTTTCTTCCAACGGTGATCATCATGTTGTACGAATTTCAGGGAAGGAGAGAATCTTGTTGTGAAATAATCGCTGTCAAGTACGGATTCGCAATTATGTGATGGAAGAAATGGAGAAAAACTGAAACTAGACCCTTAAAGACTCGGATCTACACGAATTCAGTTGTAGGTTACATTGAGAATGAGTGGTCCGAAGAGTTAGGAGGGAAAGACTCTGTCCTTCCCTCATCATGTGGTATTTCGTGATGGAAAAGTCTCGACAAACTATCGCATCGTCTTCGTTTGTGGTTTGGCTATGAATGAAATGCTTGAACCCGGACCAAAGTTGTAACCCGACTTGGTTGGTATCCTGCTACAAATTAGTCCATATCGGGTTGCACTGCGTAAGACATAGAAAAAGCTGTTTATGCAAATAACAGTGCAGGAAGAATATCAAAATGTCCAAAAATTCCGATGGAGAAATTTAGAAAA